TTGAACATGTATCCGGAATTGCATTCTCTCAATTACTGGAAGCCTGTTTAGTTCGTTTAACAATGGGGTATAACATGATGGGGCCATGTCTGTTTTTTGACAAATTAGCCGAGCACACTTATTCTGGATACGAATGATATTAAATAAAAACGCGAAAGCGTCCCATTCATGACAAACTAAATACTAGAAGGAAAAAAAATCTCTAAGAGTTCAGGGGTAAAATTCAGAGTCACAATAATTTCTACAAAGTCTTTAAAAACAGTAAAATTTTATTTTGTATCCTTTGTTTAAAAACAAGACATGCTATAGGAATACAAAATGAAAACAGAAATTTGAATTAATTTCTCTTAATATACTAAATAATAATAACATTTATAATAATCATTATAATAATCATTTTAATGATAAAGATATGAAAATAGTAATAATGTATTTATATAGCGCTTTTTCCATAAACTTGTTCAAATGCGCTTTATAATAATACGTTATTAACAGAAGGGGTATTAAGAGTTTGCTTTAGTTGCGAAGAAATCTAGGTAGGTTACTTTACAGTTTGAAAGCAGCAATTTTGAATGCTCTATCACCAAGTTTGGGTAGCATCTTGGCAAAGGGTGGTTCAGCGTGATGCCTTGGGAGGAGAGGAGGGAGGAGAGGAGGGAGTGGTGGGACGGTCACCTGATAGTTATGAGTTCAGATATGTAAAGTGAGAGAGGCCATGGGTGCGTTTGAAGGTGGGGAGAAGTATATAATTATCATTTCCTTCATAGGTTTCATACAGAAACCACCGTGCTCCAGTAGGCAATGGGTTACCCTTCACCCTGACAGTTACAAATATTATCACATTACCAAATATCCATACTTTTTATAGCATTTTATAATTTATGAAGGAACAATAATTATCTAAATAATTTCGACCTCATAATCATTATATTGGCGCTATAAAAAGAACAACTCATGCTTCGAAATCGAATTTCTAATCAGGGAAAATAATCAATATGGAGACAGCAATCTCCTTATGTAACTTTATCGAACGAAGTTCAAAAGAGTCAGAATTCTAGTGTCCCTAATACTTATAATATGCATTAAACGTCTTCTAAACTCTAAAGTATGCTTACCTTCGTATAAACTTAAGGAGTAAATCAAAGCTATCCATATCAAGCAAACGACATATCTTTGAAGATGCATCTTGGAGACCCGTCCCACCAATTAGGGGCTGTTGTTCGCAGTCATAAAAAGTGGTATTTGCTGCTCCTGCTAATCTTCTCAAGAACGTTGGTTATAACTCTATCACGGTATACTTTGTTTCGTTGTCCTTATGGATGAAAGGTCCATATCACTTCGTTATCGTGGTTATGAAGAAAAATCGGGACTGAATATTTTTTTTCATCGACAATAATTATTATCCCTGACTATTGCTCTTGTTTTTCAAGACGTTGATTATTTCCTCATCAAGAATAATCAATGTGGCTCAAGTTGTTCAAAAATGTTATAAACATTTTGTCCGGGATATTAGTTTGTATATAAATCGTCATGATCATGTTAATAAGCCCGAGTAAAATCTACTCATCATCGTCGCTTGTCCAATCGAGTCTTTGAATAAAAAAAAAACTCTCAAAGTCGTACTTAACTTTCGTCGTGAAAAATCAAATGCTCGTAGTCCAAGTGAAAAAATGTTAACAAAAGGTCACCATGATTATTGTCCACGATCAAATAAACAAGCTCATGATCCAGTAAAAGTATAAACCTGTACTCAAATTACTTTTCCGTAAGTTAATATAATTAAGCTTTGGGCGAAGTCCCCGAGAAATGGAAGATAATCCCTCCATACATCGTGTCAGTATTTCATCTGCCTCCGATCGTTCTCCTTGTCGCTATCATTCTCCATGGGATGATCTCGGTGTGTCGTCATCATCATCACCATAGCTGTATCTCCCCTCTATAAAACCACTGACACTTTCACAGCGCTATATACTTGAAATGATATAAAATCAACTCCACCCGATTGGCGCCCAGGCGGGTTGTACTATTTAGTCACAGAATGTGACGTCTTCGGGAACGTTCCCATTACCATCTTTGATGTCATTATTATAATGCCCTGCCGTGTATATTTGTACAGTGAGCAAAGCAGCACCGTAAAGGCATTTTGATGAAATCGATGATTTATTAAGTTGGCAGATCGGGTGAAATCTAATTTGGAATTGTTAAGTGCTAAAGGATAATAATATGAACATTTTCCTCCAGACCTTCAATCAGGCAAAATGTATTAAAACTTTTTCTTCCTATCTTTCGTTTTTTTCTTTCATTCTTTAATTCTTTCTTTCTTTCATTTGTTAATAATTATATTTCTTTATTTCTTTATTCATTTATTTATTTATTAATCTATTTCGTTTCAGTCTGTCTTTCCTTCCTTTTTTTTTTTTTTTTTTTTTTTGTTCTCCTTGTTTTCCTCCTTTTCTAATCATTGTTGTACTTCTTCCTCTTTTTTTTCTCCTCACATTTATTAGTTGGCATGGATGGCTAAGTGAAAACAAAGGTTGGATTGGAAAAAGAATAACTTATGAAGGGGTCTATGATGAAAGCACTGCTCGTAAGTTATAGGCCCCATATTATGTTATGATATTGAGATAATAATAGTCTATGAAAGTAAACGGAACGAGCAATGTATGGTTGTATTGGCAAATTTTATATACAAATAACATTAATGTAAACTTATGTTAACATAATTCACACTAAAAAAAGAAGCAATGGATATTAGGCTAAACATAGAATAACAGTTCAAATTATTTTGATAAATTTGCATAACCTGTACGTCATAAGCTCATTTTAGACATGCATGGGAAGCAATCTATATCAAGAACAACCTTCATGTTAATAGCAGTGGGGACAGACCGCGTACCTGAATCCAGGCTAGGTATTAATTATTCGAATAAGCAGTCTGATTTGTGAAGAGTATTAATGGGACGTGATTCAATTCAAGGGCATTCAATTTATGAGTGACTGGCTTCAGTGAGTAGTCGATTAAAACAAAAATCGATCTCTTCATAATATGGTTGAATGACTGGCATTTCTTTCATGAAGGTAATCTATGTTCTTGAATAAATGATGATCCATTTGCAGGCCCAAAAAATGAAAAGGTTTAATTCCAGTGGCATTTGAAAGATAATACTAATTTAGAACTTCCAAAAAGAAGGGGGGCTTGAAAATGTCTTTAAGTGGGAAAATAACGACTATTAGTTGTCGAATCGACTTAAGAGCTATAGAGCCAGTAAGTAATAGTCTGATTTTCAGACCATTGTATAGAATGGTCGTACGTTTTATGCTGCGCAAAGATTCAATCAGTTTAATTTGGCCATCACAAGAAGTGGGTTATTGATCATGTACCCTTTACAGCACATTAATATATGTTATTACCAAAGAAGAGAAAAAGCTATTTAGTCATAGTGTCAGACAGTGAAGTTTAGCAAGTAAACGGGTTTCCTTGCATAATTTGAATATTAGGACATTGCTAACGTTTAAATTTCACAGATAGAACATACATGACATAATTCCGGCAAAGTTCTAGAGAATTCGATGTTGGCTGCAAAAGGGACATAGTATCTTTAAGTGAGCCTATGGACTACTCAAGAAAGAATTTGGACATTTGGAGTGATAGGTCGGAGTTGCACAGGGGTTCACGTCCCTACAACCCCCGCCCCCTCTGACCCAAATGGTTAGAAGAGAGAGAGAGAGGGGGGGGGAAGGGGGGGGACAAAGTGAAAAAGAAGATGAAGCCCCTTTCCACACCTTCCTCCTAAATTGTCATTGATTCGTATCTGGTGCTCCGGTTGACGCCAGAGCGCTCATAAAGGCTTGATCCACCACTTGACACCCTTATATTAATAATGCTTTATAGTTTATAGCGTTCAAGACTACAAGGGTAGTGGTTGGGGCTTCCTTGGTGTTATACCGGTGTATAGCCGTTTGGCCTACAATTAGCTAGTTTGTGTACTACCCATTAGTCTATTCCCATATGGTCCAGACCCAGCCAGTCTACTATCCATATGGTTCAATAACCATTTCGTCTAATTAGCATTTGGTTTAATGTCCATTTAGGCTAAGAGTCATTTGGTCTAATTGCCATTTGGTCAAATTTCCAGTTTGTCTAATGCTCATTTCGTCTACCATCCATCATCAAGACCATACGGATAATCTCAGAATACAGAATTGAAAAATTTGGAACGTGAAAATAAAAAACCAGTACACTCACATTAACTGTTTTTATTTTTGTTGTCCTTTCTGTTTTTTGTTTTCGCTGGAAAAAAAACGCAATACAAGAAAAAGGCAAACAAAAATCAATTAATACACCTACCAATACTCATTCTGCTTCAACCATTCGATATGCATTTATGAGCCAACCACTTTGACTTGTTTTTATTTGTTTTTAAATTATTGGTCAAGTACCTCCAAAGGTGATAATAATAATGGCGATGATGATGATCTCGTCGATTTTTATGTGAATCAATTACAACTAGATCTATTTCTCCTTTCGAAAAAAAAAATAGCAGGAAAAAAAGCTAAGAAAATTCACATAGGCCTAAAGCATTCAGTTTACGCATTCTGAAATGCCTCAGAATGCAATATTTTCCACTTGGCACACGCGATTTCGTACATCCCCCCCCCCCCCCCCCTTTCCACTTTGGAAAAACCTGGATCCGCCCCTGGTGAGAGAGAGAGAGAGAGAGAAAGAGGGAGAGAGAGGAAAAAGGGGAGAGGGGGAAGAGAGAGAGAGATGTACACACGTCCTCGCTTGGTTCCTTACGGAACGTTGAGGAGTACCCCAGAAGAAGAAGAAGAGAGAGAGAGGGGGAAAGACCGATGAGGGCGTTTGGTGTTTAGCCACCATCACCCATAGCAACGTGACGTATGAGCTTGACAACGATGCTGCTTCATTATTATTTTGGTGATGTACACACGTACCGCGGCGCCGTACTGCATATCGCGTTTGCACATAGGGTCTATACATGTGTGGACTATTTCAGTGAATATATTGAAGCGAAGTGACTGAATACGGCAAGCGCAAGTGCAGTATCGAAAGCAACGTAAACACATAGGATTTTTGCATTTTTACCCTAATTTCTGCATCAATATGGCCACGATGTATGGACAGCAAGAAAGTATCTACAATCTCATACCTCAAGAGGAGGTCAAACAAGAAAAACAAGCCAGGTAAGTTTGTTTTTTTCAAGCTATTCGCACCTCCACTCCACTCCAGTTAAAACTCAGATGAGTATTTTGGAGGACCAACCGGTGCTAATTTAGAATCATATCCATAGGTAGTTTAAGACGTATGCCTAGACCTAGGCCTATAAATATGCCCACCTTCCTTCATTCAAAATCCACTGCATGTGATATCGTGTCATGATCATAATGATAATCTGCAGATATCATTCAATCCCAACCAACTCAATGACAATGCAGATGAAATGCATAGAAATTAGAATCTAGTTCTACTGACCACTGTAGTACTTTCACCAGTAACTCTGGAGTGGAGATACGCTACCAAAACATACCAAAAATAATAATATTGGATTATTATATAGATCTAGATCTAGCGCAAATATCGACCTTACAACAAGGTCCTCGCGACGCTCCAACGTTACCGATTTCGACGCTCACAGCATTTTAAGGAATTCCTTCCTACCGCCCGGTACCGGTTCCCATTTCCGTGTAGATTCTAGATTAATGTCTTGCCAAAGGACATTAGTGCTGCGGCGGGACTCGACCAGCGGACCCTGTAATTCACAGTCTGACGACTTATCCACTATGTCACAACACCTCTACTCTCTAGACTTTTTTTTCTACTAGACTCTAGAAGGTCTAGACCTAGATCTAAATCTTCATCAATTTAATTGTTCAAATAATGGTCATGATTTAAAATTTGTTATGTTTCTTACCTGTTTTGTGTCAATTTTCTCATATTTTTTAAAGTATTTTCCACCAAAATAAAGATATAATATGCACTTTCTCACAGGTTTCACGGCAAACCGCAGCACAATACAATTGCATAACATATAGCGTACCGATGGTGGGGTGCGAGCGCGACTGAAGTTAGCAACTGTAATCTCAGATCCTCATAAAATTCATGCGAGTAAATCAAGATTGGGAGTCATTTATTAATTAATTACATGCATATTTGCATTGTGTGTGCCAAAGTCAAGCCACATTGCATTGGCATTGCCATTTGTGGTTCCTTTCATTTTGTGGTAGACATTTTAATGGGCATCAACAATTACTTGATACATGTCGGTAGAGCAAGCTTCTAACTCTTAAGTTCTTATAAATTCAATCTTCACTATTTTATACAATTTGCCAAATCAACTCCAGAAAAATTAAATGTAGGATCCAAATTTAAACAAAAGAATTAGACCTTAGGCTAAGCTAAGACACTAAATTAAAGCATTTTTAGCCTTTGAGTTTGAGAACAAAGTCTAGACCATAGTGTATGGTTCTCCATAGCAGCTTGCCACTTCCAGTCATGACAAAGCATTGATGTATTTAATCTATTTTCTTATCACAGGTACACATCTAAATTTCGAGGAAATGTGAAGGTAGAAGAGAAGACGAAGAAGACGTCCAGCAAGACGATGGGACCGGCGAAAGTAGAACTCAAGAAACCCGAAGAATTCCACAAGAAACACTCCAAGGAGCCACAGCTTCCTCCCAAGACTAAATTCAGCTACCCTGACGAAGAAACAAAGAGACCAGCTGTCCCAAAGAGAGATGAGAAACCACTCATGGGTCTCAAATCAAACAAGAACTTTGTCAACACTAATGCAGTGGAGAACATCATGTCTGTACCCAAGAAACCAGCTGCTAACTTTGTGGATACAGTGAACGGTGCCACACACCCCCTCACGCCGTCTGGTCTCATGCCCAAATATGTCAAGAAAAAGGTGAGGACTAGCGTCGAAAGTGTCAACAGTTTCTTTCAGAGAACTGGCAACACTTTGCTTCACACTATACAGTTTTGGAATACTCTATCTGCAAGTCAATTAATTTTTCCAATGTTTGCAAATCAAGCATGTGATCTCTACATTGTAACAAAAGGAAAATTCAAATTTTAAGATGTTCATGTGTTTGTGGATTTGATTAGTTTACATGCATGTAAAGGGTCCCTTCAACTATTTCTCTAGTCAAACAGATCATTACTTGGGAATGCTTGGTGTAAGATTTTTGCCTGTTTGCTTTTGTTTTAAAAAATAATAACAAAATAGGAGATAATGCTAAATTGCCTTCATAATTTCGTTCAAGAGAGAAGCCTTAATTCATTATTTGTTTCATGAGTGAGCTTGATGTTCCAAACATTTTTTGCTTTAATTTTCAGATGATTATGTGGTATTTTTTAGATCAGTTGTAGAACAAGGGCTGAACTGTAACCAATTTCAAATTTGTATGACTTTTACCAGAATATAATTGACTAATTAATCATGATTTGATCTATTTAATTTCTTTGTAATTAATGTCATTGTTATATAGATTCCTGCCATGTTCATTATATTTAGCAGAATATAATTACTTTGTGTTGGTGACTCATGAATACATGTATTTCATTGTTTATCTCAGGGTTATGGTGAGGTCCCTACCTACCTTCAGCAGCGTAATGAGGAAGTCCAGAGAGCTCAGGAGGAGTACGATGAATACATCAAGGAGCATTACAGAAGAGGAGCTATGAAGTGCCTTACTGAAGAAGAACGTAAAGCAATCATGGATGGACTCAAGAAGAACTGGGAGGAGATTCATCATCAATACCAAGGTCTCTCCGTCGTCACGGATACCGCTCCCAAGAAGGCCCGTAAGGAGAGGATGGAGGCCGAGATGAAGCAGCTGGAGCGAGATATTGAGCTCCTGGAGAAGCACAAAGTGATCTACATCTCAAACCATTGAAGCAATGATGCTAACTACTGAACTCATCCGGATTATAATGTCTGAGAAACATGAGCAGATCCACTTAATGGATGGAACATTGAGCAGGGATCATTCGTCTACTTTGAAGTATCAATGTGATCATTTCTAACTCATTGAATCATTTTCACATATATGGTTACATGGCAGCAGAGCATTGATCATTGTTAAGCAGATAGTTGTCAACTTGTGCTTTAATTAAGCAAAATAAAGTAGCACAGTCTTTTGTCCATACTACAAACAAAAAAATATATAAAGAGAGCCATATTTTTAGCGAACACAAAGTTGGTATTTTATCTTTTGCTGTAGCTGCAAGGATTTTTTTATTAGTAATTCTTCCCCCCCCCCCCCCCCCTCAGTTATACTTGTACACTATTGTAAAGTGCTCATTTGGAAAAAATTGTAACCCATGTCAAACGGTACGCTAATTTTTAAATGTATAAAATTACAGTGATATCGTCTTGCAATGTATATACCATGTGTAAATATTCAATAAATTTATCTATGGAATTCAAATGATGATATTACTTCTAGTTTTCTCTGCCCAAGTGAAGTTACTGGCAATTTTAAAATTGTATATTTAATATTTTTTAAAGTAGGCACTTTTAAAGTTGCTTTTTCAGTTGGTATATATACCGGTAAATTAATGCAGAGATTACCATTAGCCTCAGCTAAAAAGGAATCTAAATAGAACCTAGTCAAGAACTTCTAATTCTAATGATTTTTCCAAAAGAAAAAGGGTTGGGGAAGAGAACAAATGGACAAAGGATAAATTGAGAAGAGGGGAACATGAAACAAAGATAAGGGAGGAAGAAAGAATGAAAACAAAAAGTAGTGTTGAAATAAGATAGAAGCAGGAGCGGTTGAAGAGAAGAGACAGATGAATGTATACAAGATATTCAAAGAGAGAAGGGAAAAAGAGAGCGAATGGGAGTTTAGAAAGAAAGAATCAATGAGAGAAGAGAAAGATAAGAATGGAGAGATCATAATAGAATGGCCTAAGAGATACTCACAGAAAGTCAAAGCCACTCAAAAGTATTGGGAGCCCCAAATTCGCCAAAAATTTGATGGCAAATTATTTGGGGCTCACAACACTTTGAAGGGGCTTTAAGATCGAGAGCTCAAATTACTATGGTGATAGATATTCAATAGTGAAAGAAAATAAGAATAAAAAAGAAACTAGAAAAGAACACTTAATTTTTCAAAGAAAGAGTGAAGAAAATAGCTAAGATCTGAAGAGAAAGCGAAAGATATTACCTATTTTCCCCTCCCCTTTTGTTTCCCTCTTCAAACAAAATAAAATGCTTGAACCCTCCCTCTCGCTTCCGAGTATCTTCCTTTCTCTTTCCCTCTCATGATATCTCTAATATTGTGCGTTCTCCCCATCTCATACTCTTCCTAATCTTGTATGACTTTCCTATCTCTCTCTTTCTCCCCAAATTCGTATCTGTTTGATCTCTCGGTTACTGCATTCACCATGTTTTTCTTACATTAACTTTCTCTCTGGCTAGTCCATTGCCTGAACCGTTTCCGTGTTTTGCAACCAATCAGCTGAGAAAATAACACATCCTCAACATTAAACCAGAGACAGTCCTTGCCTTTCATTCTCACCCTCGCATATGTTGGGGTTGTGCTTTCTGTAGACATACTTAGATGACTAACGGAAAAGAAATATATACAAACTGACAGAATCTGGACTACTCTCTGGCTGGTTCTCTCTCTCTCTCTCTCTTTCTGTCTCCTCATCACCCTCCCTCATCCCCCCCCCCCCCCACTATCCCTCTCTCTCTCTCTATCTCTCTCTCTTTCTCTGTCTCCCCATCACCCTCCCTCATCTCCCCCAACTATCTCTATCTCTCTCTCTTTCTCTGTCTCCCCATCACCCTCCCTCATCTCCCCCAACTATCCCTCTCTCTCTCTCTCTCTTTCTCTGTCTCCCCATCACCCTCCCTCATCTCCCCCAACTATCTCTATCTCTCTCTCTCTTTCTCTGTCTCCCCATCACCCTCCCTCATCTCCCCCAACTATCCCTCTCTCTCTCTCTCTCTCTCTCTCTCTCTTTCTCTGTCTCCCCATCACCCTCCCTCATCTCCCCCAACTATCCCTCTCTCTCTCTCTCTCTCTTTCTCTGTCTCCCCATCACCCTCCCTCATCTCCCCCAACTATCCCTCTCTCTCTGTCTCTCTGTCTCCCCATCACCCTCCCTCATCTCCCCCAACTATCCCTCTCTCTCTCTCTCTCTCTGTCTCCCCATCACCCTCCCTCATCTCCCCCAACTATCCCTCTCTCTCTCTCTCTCTCTCTCTTTCTCTGTCTCCCCCAACTATCCCTCTCTCTCTCTCTCTCTCTCTCTCTCCCTCTCTGTCCCTCTCTCTCTCTCTCTCTTTCTCTGTCTCCCCCAACTATCCCTCTCTCTCTCTCTCTCTCTCTCTCTCTTTCTCTGTCTCCCCATCACCCTCCCTCATCTCCCCCAACTATCCCTCTCTCTCTCTCTCTCTTTCTCTGTCTCCCCATCACCCTCCCTCATCTCCCCCAACTATCCCTCTCTCTCTGTCTCTCTGTCTCCCCATCACCCTCCCTCATCTCCCCCAACTATCCCTCTCTCTCTCTCTCTCTCTCTGTCTCCCCATCACCCTCCCTCATCTCCCCCAACTATCCCTCTCTCTCTCTCTCTCTCTCTTTCTCTGTCTCCCCCAACTATCCCTCTCTCTCTCTCTCTCTCTCTCTCTCTCTCTCTCTCCCTCTCTCTCTCTCTCTCTCTCTCTCTCTCTCTCTTTCTCTCGCCCTCTCTCTTTCTCTCTCCATGAGACTGGCCAATTCATCAACACAAGAGAGGCACTCTATAATCATTTATTTTTAACATTCAGTTCATGTTTGGAACATTTTATTACATACATGTACACGTAAACTTGGAAAATGATTACAAATGAATTATGTCAACACAACATTAATTGATACTGCATTCTGACCCTTACCTTATCACAAAATTGTAATTTTGACTGATGTAGTTGCAATAAGTTACAAACAAATCTGAAGAAAGATTTATATCCCCCCCTCCCCCCCCCCCTTAACTAAAATACAGTGTACAAGGAAATCCATAACAGTATTGTATACTTAAATCCCATCTGCACTAGTTTGGCCAGGAGGGATTAGACCTCCCTGCATGGTCACTGACAGGTGGTTATCTGATCAAATCAGCTCTCAATTAACATAAGAGAAAGAGGATCATGGGGAACCAACGGTCACCGCTTAGGCATTGTTTGCTATATAGAGGCGCAAGTAGCTACAAGTAGTGCATTGGGGTTTTAAAGGCTTGTTCGTATATGCTGATAACACATTGGACCATTGTTGCAAGCAGCTACCTTTTAATCCCCATACCAGTACACGGTTTCCTTGGGCAAGTGTGAACAAACCTTGAGTAGCTTCTGGTAGAGGAATGTTCAACTTAAATCTCAAAATAATGCACTTGCATGTCGAGTCTTTACATATTACTTTACCATATGTCAAATTCATACGGCTACCTCTGTAAATCAAGATTTAAACCAAAATAAATTTTAATTCTAACAGGGATATTTTGGTTACAGTCACATCCTAAAAGAAATCAACTCTGAGTTGAGAATTCTGAAGCATGCCACTGCAGAGATCAATTTTTCATCCAACATTTAGTATATACTAAAGACTAGATAAATAACATCTCAAATTACAAAACAGAATTGAATAACAGAATACTCAGCTTGAATCATCGCTTCATGTTTAATCTCTATAGGTCTATATACTGCTCTCTCTCTCTCTCTCTCTCTCTATCTATCTCTTTCTCTCTCCACTTATCTCTCCCTCTCTTTCTCTTTGTGTGTCTCTCTCTCTCTCTCTCTCTCTCTTTCTCTTTCTCTTCTCATTTCCCTTGGTGATGTTAAGCTGGTCCCAATGCTATTCTACTTGTTTCATGCTGGCTTGGGAATCTACTTCCAGAATTTCTTGATGGACATGTTCTTCTCGGAATCCTTGAGCATAATCTGAAAAGAAATCAGAGATATTTTTGACCTGAAAAAAGATGTTCAAGCAAAAGAAGGAGAAGCAGAGATGCCAACCTCTTGACACAAAAAAACAGACTGAGTATCCTAAAAAATCAGATTTTGGAGAGAAAAATCAGATTTTCACGAAAACTCGACACTACCACTGGCCCGTCAGCACCGGGCCAGCAAAAATTTCTGAAAAATATTTGACTGGTAAGTACAGTCAAGTAAAATGTTTGCTCTTTCTTTAAAATTTAATGAGAAAATTGTAAAGCAAAGTTTTTTGTGGGGTTGCGCCGATTTACTTGTTTGTTTGTTTTTTGAAAAATCGTAGTTTAAGAGGTGATATCGTATTATCGTATTTCACTCTTATTATCGTACTAAATGCGATTTAATCATACTGGTTGGCATCTCTGTAAAAGTAATTGTAACTGCTTACAATTAGTAACAATGAAAAATGTGTTACTGTTCAGTTCTCTAACATATATATTGTGTTTCTTTGGCAAAGTTCCCTGATTTTCTCTGATAGAAAAGCCATCGATGCGATTCCTCCAGTGAATACAGAGTATGAGAACAAGACAAAATAATAAGAAGCTTTTCTTTTGGGGCAGATGAAACTCAATAACTGATCACGATTTGAATGATTTTTTATCAATTTCCCTGACTTTTTGTTGACTAGAAGAAGGGAGATAACATTTTCCACTGTTTTCCCTGGTTTCAAGGATAGTTGGAAACATTGCTTGTGTTATTCCTGTATATTAACAATTCATTCAAAATGCCATTATACCCTAGACCAAACACATGGATTATGAGTTTCTCTCCTCCTGAACAGAGCAATCCCACTACAGGTACAAGACAACCGGACCCCCTAAGGCTCATTCACATGATGTGCTAAACCATTGCATTTTTATTTTTCTGTAAGCACTTCCCATTTCTGCTTTCAAAGTTGCAATTCCAAGTTATTTCAACACTCTTCTATTTCTGTTTTCCACGTTGCAATTCCAAGTTATTTCAACACTCTTCATTTGGAACATACACATACAAAATGGAATGGGAAAAAAGACAAAAAAGAACAAGATAGTTATACAAATTACAATGGCAATTCATGACAGCATTTGGGATAGGCAGAAAGGAGAGATTCCTTATATGAAAGCCTACCCCTAAACACACACATACAGGGAAAAAACATACTACCATGTACAATCAGAGTAAAAACATTTGAACAAGAGAGTGTAACAAAAGAGTGTAAGACACAGATAAGTGAGTATACACCAGATATGTTGGGCATATAGCTACTGTTTTTCACCTCCAATTGCCATTCACCAGCATGTAAAAAAAAAATATGCAGTTTTCCTCCATTTCGTCTGAACAAGCCTTCACACTAGTTTTGTATCATTTGCCATATTTATAGAAATTGATGAAAATGTAACCAACAAATTGTGTTTTTCTTACCTTTGCGACAGCCATCTCAAAGTCTTCTTGTGTTACGTGAACTCTCCTTTC